GGAGCATGATTTGCTTCGGTAATGCAAGTTATTAAGTTACTTCCCTCAGCCCAGCTAAAATCTCTTATTGGTTGATGTTTGCTTCAAAGTGTGAGACTGAGCTAGTTTGAGGAGAGAGGGAGAGTAAGAAGATTCCTCTTCTTGGCCAGAGGTCATGGTCTTCCACAAGGAACAGAATGACTCCACGCAAATTATGGGACCTCTTTGAGTTTGGGGCCCCTACATTTAAACCAGTCACTCCATTGCACAAATTGGTACCCTTCCCCCAACAAAATTACTGGGCAGGAATTTTCTTGACTCCTTCCATGGCCTGGAATGATCTCCCTTCTCATCCTTGTGATCCACACAGCTGGCAAATGGCAGGCAGCAGAACAAAAACAAGCCTCTTAGCATAGAGAGAGAGAGAAAGAGTCACAGCAGTACTGAATTTGCTTGGGAACCTAATGTTAACAAAGGATCTTCCTCTCAACACCCCAAACAGATTAAAACATTTTTTTTTTAACAGCAAGTTGTGTCTCAGAGCAGCTCTTTGCTTGGGTGTATTTAAAGATCTGCTGAGTCATTTAAGAGCAGGCTGGCAGATCCTAAGAGGCAAGGACTATACCCCAGTCTATGGGGGAGTAAGTTGAGAGGTGAAATCTGTTTGGCTTTCTCCCATGGAAACAAACAAGGTGATCCACTTCCATCTCCCACAACTCTGGAGAGCATCTACTAAGGCTTCTTATTCTATCAACTTTGAACTCCTCAGTGTATAATAGAGTAAGGGTGACAGGGAAGGAGCAGTTGTACCAGTGTGTCTGCTGTCTGAAATTGTAATGCCCCTGCATTGGTAGCTGAGAGTAGCATGGAAGTGTCAGGTTGATGGGTTCATTTCATTCTTTTCTTTTCAGTTTCTGGTCACATGCATTGTTACCATGGCATATGACAGTTGCTAGAAAGTGAAATAATTTTTTCTACTTTATTCTTAATTGCACTTCTAAATTTATTAAAGGAGAAATTAGCAGTTAGCAACTGTTAACTATAGGTACACATTGGGGTTTCCTTAGAGCCGATTTTCCCCCTAGTTTTCAACTTGTAAATCTGATAGATTTTGTCCTAAAAGTTGGCAAAACCTGGAGCTTCTCTTTGGTCCTGGCCTTTTTGAACCCTATTCCACAGAGCCCAATCTTCTTTCTTGTTTGAGACAACTATCCTTCTCTTTGCCCACTGCCATTTTCCTTCATCTACTTTTCCCATCTCTAGCACCTCAGACTGTCTTCCCACAGTGGCACAGACTCCCGCTCCACTTTCACTGTGCCATCTTCTTGCTATCAAAACCATCCTCACAGACTCTTACTTTGCTGAAACCACTTCTAGGAAGGGAAATCACAGTGGATCCATGAAGGATGCTTTCTGGATGACTTTAAAAGATTGGTATTAAGATATTTTATTAGTGGTGGCAACACTGACTTATTCAGGCAGCCATGCCCAGGATCTATAAGAAATCAGATAAGCTAAAAGTTGCTTGAGCTGGCAGGAGACCTAGTTCTCTGTTTTCCTTTCCCTCATGCATTTTGTTTATCAATGGTTTTCAGAGGACGTAGAGGCTGGCTTTGTTATAGTTAGTTGGTAAGAGAAATGGTGGAGGACTGGAAAATGGGAGTGGAACCATTGAGCATGTTTGAGACTAAGTTATTACAATTCCTAGGATGTATAAATCACTTGAAAGTCTACCAAGTACTTTCAGACACATTATCTTTTTTACTCTTCAAAATCAACTTGGAGGTAGGCACAACAGGGATCAAATCCTTAGTTCACAGATGAGTAAAACGAGACTGGAGGAAATTAAAGGACATTCCAAGGTAACTCAGACAATAAGCAACAGAACTAGGATTTGATTAGTTTTTTGGGGGGTGGGGAGGACAGAGTCTCACTCAGGCTGGAGTGCAATGGCAAGGTCTCATCTCACTGCAACCTCTGCCTCCTGAGTTCAAGTGATTCTCATGCCTCAGCCTCCTGAGTAGCTGGGATTACAGACATACGCCACAATGCCTGGAAAATTTTTGTCTTTTTAGTAGAGATGGGGTTTTGTCATGTTGCCCAGGCTGGTCCTGAATTCTTGGTCTCAAGTGATCCACCCCCATTGGCCTTCCAAAGTGCGTGGAACCACTGCTCCCGGCCCCGGACCATTAATTTTTGATGGTAGGTCCACGTTTTTTCAAGTTCACAGCTCAGATTTGCTATATAATGAATGAATGAGTATATATGTCATTTGGGAACATTATTCCAACTTTCGGTTGAAGATTTGTTTTATCAGTTGTGGAACTTTTTTTCATTTTTAGCATTATCAGTTTAGTTAAATGAACATTTCGTTCATGAATTCACTAATTAATTATTTTATTCATCAATACATTTCCTGAGTACCAACTTTCTATCAAATGCTGTGCTGGATTCTGAGGCTACAAAGAGAAATACGACACCATCTCATGACTCTAAAATATCACAGACTGGGGACTGACATCTCAGTAGTAAACATATGAATAGCAACTTATGAAATGCCATTAGAAAAATCTCAAGTTATATTCCTCAGTGAGTATGGCCATCCTAAAAATGAGAAGTCTTTTATTTTGGGTACATGAAAATGAAGCGTTGTGAGAAATTGCATTTTAATCTAATCTTGTCTTACTAAGAACAGAAGTGAAATGTTTCAGCCTCTGTGTGTGTGTGTGTGAAGGTTGAGTGTGTGATGATGGATGGGGCTGCGAGATTGCTAAGTAGGATCTATGGGGGGCCTTAGATGGTCCTGGTGAGTCCCAACTTTGTGGTTATGTATTTGGGTGCAGTATGGGAGTGACAAAGATTGTTGTTTAAGAGTTGATTTTAGATTTTTTCCAAGTAAATAATCAGCAGACTTGGAGCATCATCATTCCACTTGCTTTGAAAACCTACCACTTAAGACTCCTTCTTGTGATAGGTTAACTCTTTCTGGTCAAGTATTACTCTTTTTGAGCATTTGCCTGTCAGTGACAGGTGCAATGTTAGATGTTGTCTCTCTGTTTTCTTGTTTAATCTTTACTTTGATCCTAGGTAGCTCTTATTAGTTCCACTTTATAGGTAAGAAACTGAATTTCAGAGACTTTAATGACTTGTTCAAGATCACATAGTAAGTAACTTGGTAGTTTGGGACTTGAATTTTGATTGTTCAATTTTTTTTCGTTTCCTGGCCTCACTGCTGTTTTCACTATTCCACACCACTTCAGCTTTATTTTTCACAGAGGCCGTTAAATGTACCCTCCATCAGCCAAAGCCTCTTGCCTCCCTTCAACGTAACTCTTCTCTAGCGTGTTCCTAATAATCTTCTGAAAAGGTTTTACAGCCTTTCTGGGTACTGGGACTCAGAGTCTTAATCCAGGCTCTTAAGTGCCTTAGTTAACTGTAATATGGATAATCAAAGTCACAGCTAATTCAGGAAAAATGAGTTTGGGATGTGAATTTCCTGGGCAACATGTCATCTCTTTTTTACTCCCTTAGCTTCATAAACTTACCCACAATGTTCCCTGAGGACTAACAGTAATGGAGGGTGATGAGGAAAGGCTTTCCTCCCTTCCTGGTTTCCAAGAGTCCTTTAGCCAAATGCCACACCTCCTCCTGTTTCCCTAGTCTCCATACAGAGATGGAGGTGGGAGATAGACATGGGTTCTTTTCAGCCCTGAGTTCATGCCAGAGTTTTTTTTTTCCCCTCTAGCTGGAGTGAAGTAGGAAGAGAGGTTCAATGTCCACCAAGAAGACCATGAGTGAAGAAGACTAAAGTACTTGAAAGAACATCAGACCTATGCGTAAAATACCAGGGTTTGTGTCCAGACTTTGTGGGTTACTATCTGTATAATTTTGGGCAAGTCAACAGTTCTGAGTCAGAGTTTCCTTATCAGCAGATTGGAAGATAAATTCTAATTATATGGATGAAACATTAAGTCTAGAAGTATTTTGTAAATTCAGAAAGGGCTTATAGATTTAAAGTGTAGCTGTTTTATCACATACTAAATCCTATACTTCAGGGATAAAACCTTCTCCTGTTTTTTCTAAAAGCCTGTGCATGTGTGGTGTAAGGGATGGGTTTTGCCCCTGTACCAGCCACTTAGCAATTTTAGTAACTGGGAGCTGAGGGCAGTGGCCTGCTTCTGCACTGAGCAAGTGTGAAAAGAGGGTAATGCATTCAGGGGTCAGCAGATGACAGGCAGAGTAGCCCCTCCAAATCTCCTTCCCATACCACAAAGCCCCTTATTTATTCAAACTTAACATTGGAAACTCGTTTCAAGTAGGCACGTCTGTGTCTGGGCGTCTATTTTCCTTCTTTGTATATAGCAGGCATTTGTCAACTTGGTGAAAAGCATTACTCTTCTTTCCATTTCTGAGGACTAATTGTGCTTATTCGCTAGACATGAGTTCAAAACAGTGGGTTGAAAGAGGGCAAGTTTATGCCAAAGAATCAGAAGTAGTCATAATTTAGAGAGAATTCTAGAGGTCAGTTCCCTTTCGTATGGATTGGGCAACTGAAACCCAGATAGAAAAGCGGATTAGACCAAGTTCACAAGCACAAACACGTTTCTGGCACATTCAGATTGGAAATTGAGGGCTTCTGCTCCCAGGTCAGAACTAAATGCCCTTTCCAGCTAGGGCGTTCTTTGATCTCAGTGACTTTGACTCTTTCTACTACACTCTGGGGACAGTGGGTTCTGAGGTACCAACTCCAATTAAAGTAGGAATATGTACCAGCTCCTCCCCTTGGTTTTTTTCTAGAGGCCTGGCATTCAGAGGCAATGTGATCTCTATATGTAATATTTTCACACTATTGTTCTTATTTAAATCACATTTGAATTTTGGCAATTAACAAGGCAGTAATTGGCATCAGGAAGGTATGTTAGTTTGCTTATCTGCCCCATCCCCCCTCTTCCCGACCCACTGTGCATTGCAGAATGTTTTATCAGCTCTGATTTGCCAAGTTGCTCTCTTCTCCAGTAGGTGCTGCAAGCAGAGAGGGATTCCTCGGAGGTCATCTGCTCCATCTTCTTGCCTATGCAAATGCCTGCCTGAAGCTGCTGGAGGCTGGCTTTGTACCAGACTTTGTACAGGGAACCAGGGAAATGAATGCAGAGTGCTCCTGATATTGCCTATCACTTTTTCCCATGATACTCTGGCTTCACAGGTGGGAGGTTCTTCAGCTGAAAACTTAGAACTCATTTTCTAGGGTAGTGAGTGTTGTAAGGTGTAACTGTAGTGGGTAGTGAGTGTTGTAAGGAGTGACTGTGACCTAATATTATGCAGCCATGACATTATCTATTAGGCATCTAGACCAGCTTGCTTGAATATCTTAGCATGTTGACTAATTTGGGGCAGACTACAGTGTGGGTGGGGGATTGTGTGTGTGTGTGTGTGTGTGTGTGTGTGTATGGGGTTGAGCAATTCATTATTATTAACATGCAAAAAGCACTTATTTCGCTATGACAAGGTTGCCTTTTTCATGCATATTGGCCTACCTGCAAGACCCCTAGAGACAGTAAGCAACATACATGGTGTCTTCCAGTTTTCAGCCTTTGTGCAAGGAACAACTGTGGGTTTTTGCATGTGTGTTGTGGTTTGATGTTTGTGTGTGATTGTGTACCAGAGTATGTGTGTCTGTTACTGTGAGTTCACTTCTGAGCAGTTGTGACACACAGAGATCCAGAAACAGTGTCTTACTCTGTGTGCTCTGCTAGTGGGAACGTGTCTTCTCTTTTGTGCTCGTATCTCTGTGTAATCAAGTGTCTTGCTAAGTCAGTGTGCCTCTGTCTCTTTTTACCAGTTCTTCCGTCTTTGTGTCTCTATGCCTTCTTGCGTTTCTTTCCCCTGAGTTTGCACATGTCTCTGTCTATGTGGATATCTCTCACTCCAGGCCACTGTGTCACTGTGTCTGTATTTACAGCTGTTTCTTTCTGTCGGTGTGTGGATTCTTTCTGTCGGTGTGTGGATTTCTATGTCTGTTTTCATCTTAATTTGTGTGTCTAAGCAAGACTGTTTTGGGGTGACTATTTCCGTTTATGTCATAGCCCCGATTGTCCCCATCTCCATGTGTCTCAGTGTGTATATGTTCTAATGTATCTGCCTACTTATCTTTATTCGTATTTCTCTGGGCATATATCCCTCTCTTGCAGTTCTGGGCCTTTGCAGTTTTTGGCTTATGTTTTTGTATATATCGACTAGAATTGACCTCCTTATGTTTTTTGTGCATGTTTTAGTTTTTTGTATATATCCACTAGAATTGACCTCCTTATCATTTTTGTGCATGTATGAGTGAGCATATCCAACTCTGTCTTTGAGAAGCAGAACTGTCTATGTTTGCAGTCAATTGTGTTGGCTGTCCCTGTTTTTGTCCCTGTGTGTGCATTTCATTGTATGTGCACCCATTCATGTATCTTTCTGCTTCTATATGACCAGATACTTCTGTGTAGCTGTCTATGTATATTGGCTTCTATCTGTGTCTGTGTTGTTGACTACATGTCTGTGCATATGCACCCACTGAGTTCATAAAAAGCTCACCTGCTCTCTAAGGAATCTACCAGATTGTTTTGTGAAATAACTCACATCTCGTTTTTTACTTGCTTGGTTATCTTCTGGCTTGCCAGATGCTTTGGTACTTAAAAGTGTGTTGGTACGTAGGTGTGCATAATTTATTCATGTAGGATGTCAAAAGAGTCAGTTAAAAATTATACACAGTGTGTCTTTATTAACAGGACAGTTGTGTGTAGAGAATCCTTGAGAAATGAGCGGTTAGATGATAAATCTTTTCATATTAATTTCATGATTTCAGTGAAGTAAATTTGAAAGGTACGGGCTGCATAAGAGCTATGTGCTTTTTAAAACTCAGTGTATTGATGGTGGAGAAAGCATTTATTTGTACTGCAAAGTCTTATTTGTGATGTTCATTACTGGGTTAGAAGGTGTTACTTTTCTGATTTTGTTTGGCTTTTTGAAGAGTTACTACAAATGACATCTTAGAGACAAAGAGCTCTGAAGGTGACTTAGAACACATGGAGTACAGACAAAAAGGAGAATGAAAAATAACAGAGAGATGAGCATATTCCTCATTTGAATGGAGTCAGCCAGGGGCTCAGGATGGGGTGCACAGGAAATGGAGAGGTGACGGTCATAGAGAGAAGCTTAGCAGGACCAGATCTTTCCTTGTCCTGGGCTGCTGTGACCATATAAGGAAGGCAGTAAGGGGAGGGGTAGGGATGAGGAAGAGACCAGCTCTCCCTTTCTTTCTGATGGAAGGTTGCCACCTCTATTTAAAACTTCTGTTCTTTTGGTTCTCTTTCTTTGTTTGATTATATTATTTTCTGGTCTTGTTCTGCCATAGCAAGAAGGAAATTCCACATGTGGCTCACTCATTTATTACACTTGTTTCTTTGCATGATATTATAGAGAGCTTGTTAAGTGTCACTGCAAACATCACACACACTGATCCACTGATATGGGCAGGGTGGTCTTTATGCCAGCTCTGCTCCCATTCCCAGTGTATCTGTGGTGCTTAATGGGGACAACCATGATTTTTCTGATGTCAGTCTGTGATGTCAGTTGTCCAGTGTGTATGCAGACTGCTTAAAAGTACATACAGTTCCTTTGTAATTATGGTAGTCCCTGAGAAGGAAGTGCTCACTAATAAAAGACTAGGTTCAGTAGAAACATGTAAGTTGTCTAGGTGTTGGAAATTAACATAGTACTCCGCTAAGGGAATATATATCTAGAAGTTAACTGGATTGTGCTCAATAAAAAGAGTACAAAAGTTTCATAAATATTTTTAACTAATTCTATAAGATTAGGAGAGGGATATTTCAGATATTCAAATAATTTTTTTAATTGACAAACACCTTAGACATATTATTTACATACAATTGACATAATAATTAAATCATTATGTCTGTTTTATGATAAAACAGGATCTTTTGGCTTAGTTTGAATTATTGAATGTAAAATAATGAAAATTTAAAAAAAACAGAGGAGGAATCTATCCTATTTTATAATTCAGACCGTTGAATTGAATTTTTCTTTTGTTGTATTGATTTCAATGTAGAGAAGTCTGTGGTGCTGGATTCCAGTCAAAAGATAAACATTTGTATGTGGGCTCTACATTGCAGCCAATCTTGATAATTTCAAACCTTGATTTTCTCATCTGTATAATGGTAATAATAAAGACTGTCTCAGTAGCTACCAAATGATTGCATATGACAAACTTCTCACTTATTTAAGGGAAAAAAGAAAAAGAAGGACAATGGGGTGGATTTTTCGTATAGTAAAATTTATTCAGTTAGGGTAATATTCTGAGCTTGTCTTCTGAAGCAAACCCTGCAAACTCTGGCCATTCTGTTTTGTTTAGGAAAGAGTTAATCAGTTCTGATTCTGCGTTTTCTGGGGAAGGAGGCTGAGTATCGATTGAAGAGGAGTCACTACTTTTCTGAGATGATATATCTGTGCTAAAAATTAGTAATGCTTTGCACATGCAACATATAGTGTTCAATTTTGTTAGTCAACAGATATTTAAGTGGCAGCTGTTATGACCTCAGGGGTGTAGTGACTTCCTTATATAATGTCCTTTAATTATTGAAAAAGAAATCTACATCAGAATATCAGGTAAAATCTTATTACATCAAATATTATAACAAAGATACTTTTTATATTCTCTAAAAAAAGTGGAGATCTCAGATGTTGGTTCATTTATCAATATAATATTGGATTTGAAAATTCCAGTATACAAAGGGAAAAAGACAGCTTCTTAAAGTTTATAGTGATTTTCTATGAACTTTCAATTCAGGTTTTTTTCTGTTTTACTGGTATGATAGAGCTAAATTTCGAGTTGTAAGTAGTAGATCATTAGACTGCAGGGTAAGCCTTGAGATTGCTTCTTTTCAGGTAGGAAACTCTACTGTGTATTTGGCTAGTTCAACATATCATGGGTAGTCAAAAATAGTTACATATCCAAGTCAGCATTTTTTAAGTTGTTCAGTTGTGCTTAAAGAATGGTCCTTTCCAGGACCAATCCAGCTTTATCAAAAAGTTATTATGTACATCTAAAGTGTTATGACATTTTAATGCTCACAATAGCCGAATGATGTGAGTAGGAATCTTTGTCTTCATTTTATAGATGAAGAGACACAGATAAATAAACTAACTGGGCCAGGGTCCTACCACTAGAATGTGACAGATGACAATTTGAGCCCAGCATATAGTTGTTTCCCTATAATATTCGTTTTATGATTGTATAGATATCTGCTGACCAACCTTAATCTCTGCTCCCTGAGATTAACCGTTCTACAAAGCAGAAACTGGAGGTCGTTCAAATGAAAGCTCTACACTTTTAGAGGGCCATTAACAATGCTCAAGTTAAAGAAAAGCAATCAAAGACAACTGAAATACTGGTACCTTCAGACAGTACATATGGATTTTTTTTTTTGTTTTATACTTTAAGTTCTAGGGTACATGTGCACAACATGCAGGTTTGTTACATATGCCATGTTGGTGCGCTGCACCCATTAACTCGTCATTTACAATAGGTATGTCTCCTAATGCTATCCCTCCCCCTTCCCCCTGCCCCAAAACAGGCCCTGGTGTGTCATGTTCCCCTTCCTGTGTCCAAGTGTTCTCATTGTTCAATTCCCACCTGTGAGTGAGAACAGGCGGTGTTTGGTTTTTTTGTCCTTGTGATAGTTTGCTGAGAATGATGGTTTCCAGCTGCATCCATGTCCCTACAAAGGACATGAACTCATCCTTTTTTATGGCTGCATAGTATTCCATGGTGTATATGTGCCACATTTTCTTAATCCAGTCTATCATTGATGTACATTTGGGTTGGTTCCAAGTCTTTGCTATTGTGAATACTGCTGCAGTAAACATACGTGTGCATGTGTCTTTATAGCAGCATGATTTATAATCCTTTGGGTATATACCCAGTAATGGGATGGCTGGGTCAAATGGGATTTCTAGTTCTAGATCCTTGAGGAATTGCCACACTATCTTCCACAGTGGTTGAACTAGTTTACACTCCGACCAACAGTGTAAAAGTGTTCCTATTTCTCCACATCCTCTCCAGCACCTGTTGTTTCCTGACTTTTTAATGATTGCCATTCTAACTGGTGTGACATGGTATCTCATTGTGGTTTTGATTTGCATTTC